AAATTGTGGGTGAAACTCATTCAGGATTCTATAAAGACTTCAAGATTCTATGACGTTTAGCAACCTGTCATAACTTTCTATTGAACTCTGTATTATAAAATTCTATTTAACTCTGTATTAAAGAATGTATTTCAAAAACAGCCCCTAGTCTTCATTCAGTAGAACTAAAAAAAATGAAAGCTGAATATGAAGCAATAGTGTTTGAGGATTAAAAATAAAATAGTAAATGTTACTTATACTTTGCTTATCACAATATTAAAACGAAAAAAATCACGGTATAAGTAAGGATATAGCACTTAACTATGTAATAAGAACTTTAAAATGGTGTAATTCTATGTGTAAGACACATTCTACGTATATTCTGAATAAAGGATAGAGCTATAGCCAAAATTTACAAAATTAATGTTAAATTTTTAAAAAATTTATATGTGTATATATATATATATATGTGTGTGTGTGTACGACGACGTCTGGAATGTAAAATAAACAATAATTTACTGATTTATTAATAAGTTATATGTCTCGTTTAATAAACTACTAATCCTTATTAATCATCGAGCATAAGCTGAAATGTAATAAAAATCGTTTAGTTAATCTCATAAGCTATAATGCTATTAAATTCAATAATAAATTTTGCAATTCACAATATTGTGTTGGAATATGTGGTGCTGCGGTTTGTTGATATGACAATAAATATAACTCCATAAAGCAATAAAACCCAACTAAAATTATGATCATGATAAAAGAGCAATATAATACTATAGGGAAAGGAATATATTCAACAGTAGGGTTGAATGTAATAAAATTTTATTGATTCCATGCCAATATAAATTTGATTATCTATTTAAAACAAAATCAAATCGATTTTCTCAAATTGTTCAAATTGGTTCCATACCAAGCCACCTGGGAAATTAACTAAATAAAATTCAGTAATTTATAATACAATCTCTTTATATTACATTAAATCTGGTACATATACATTAAAATACATTGCGTACAAAGATTGCTAATTGTAAGTATAATTATATGAACTATATAAAAATACGACATCTTATTATACATATATTGCAATAACAATTCGTTTATTATTAATTAAATGCCTTATCATGTAATATATAAATGACACTTTATTTTTGGCAGCATAACAATAATCAGTTTCATCATAAAATTAACAACTTCGGGGTTTGAAATTGATCGCGTTTTGTAAAAATTACAAGTAAAAATATTTTCAAACATTTTTCAGTTGATAAAGGTACAGATAGAAAAATTGCTATTTTTTTAGATATCAAGAATAAAATATGTGCATCAATTTCAGAAACACTAAAAAATACTTCCAATAATTCCGTGAACGTTTATACGAATTAAATTTATAACTGACCTTACACCAAGTTAAGGTAGAACTTTTTTAATTATAGCCTAATTGGAATTTACACAAAATAAAAAATATAAAAAAATAACGCAAAAGTTTTATATTTTCTTCGAAGAATGAAAGCAAATTATACTGGTAAAAAATTGGTTATATATATATATATATATATCGATATATATATATATATCGGATATATATATATATATATATATATATAATCCTATACATACTGTCTACCAATTAAACTTTAAAAACATTACCGTTATTTGTTCCAAATTTTAGCTCAATTAGTAAACGCAAGAAACAATAAAACCTAATTTATGAATGAAATGTTCATATCTCCAAATGATTTAAATAAAACCATTAATGCAAATACCCATAAATTTTATGATGAGCTTATTCATTGAATAATTTAAAGGTATCCAATGATAATAAAATTATTCAAACACTTATCATTTATGCAATACATAGAAAATTAGAATAATTGAATATATGGTACTGAGCAGTTTTTATATTAGTGTTATCTTTCCTGATCGTAAATTATTTTAATTAAATGCAAATAATAGCAAATTGGTGTAATTTAAATCTATGTTTTGCTATATGTAAATGATAAATTATATATGAATTATTGCTCTCTCTTTATTTAATCAAAACAATAAATAAGTATTTGCATTAACTTCCCACAGTTTAACTGTTTGTTATACTTTTGACATAGATTTTATTGTTTCTCTGCGCTGGAATATTCTCTTGAAAGTTTTGGGTATAAGAAGCACATTGCATTATTTCAGGTGTTGAGATGTCTATTTACGAAAATAGCCCTTGTTAAAAACAACGGTAGAAAAAAGCTAAATTTAACCATCGATTTGTTGCAATAGAGGGATGGCCAAAATTCGACAGAATTAGAAAAGCCACCAAAACGATAAAAGCAATAATAGTAGCGACGAAATACCCATTCATAAAAACTTCATAATCACAAAAACGTTTTAAAAATTTAAGTTAGACCATAGAAAAATTAAATAAAAGTATCTATACTTCAATTTAGAGGAATTGCTGGTCGATATTAGGGAGGATTATCTTGATAAGGAGCATCAGGTGGTAAGAATAAAGGACATGTCCCTCTGTATCTCAATTTTATAAACTAACAGATCTCATCCCGAAAATATAATAAAATTTGAAGAAATGCTGGTATTAATAGCTATAATTTTCGAACAATTAATTCTATCGTGTATATTTTTATCAAAATCTTTCCTACTTCACCATACGATTGTTTCAAATTTCATTTTGATTTCTACTTCTTAAAATCTTATTAAATTAAGATAATTTCTTAGACCAAGTATGTGTATAACATGTTTATTTCAGATGTATATACTTATAGTACCTTTCCAAAAGCATCTCAAATAAACTGTACCTACTTGTTTTTGCTTGAGAAAAAAAATATGAATTACAAAAAAGCATTGTAAGTTTGAGCGACAGATTCCAATTAGGCTAAAATGTTCAGCGAATGTATAATCAAACAGTAAAGAAATAAAAAAATGTCATGGCAAATATAATAAAAACATAACGGATGTTGTCATATAAAAAAAACATTATCCGCGAAATAATGATACAGATAAAATAGGCTATAAATAAATTTCAAAAGTCGCAATCTTAAATTCTCTATATGGTCGTAGTTAGAATAAAAATATTTTTAAGACTTGCTTTTTGAATAACTGAAAAAATTACTAATATGTATTAAAAAAAAATTTAGATCTAAAAATATCGAAATTAAAAAATTTACAAATGAAAACATACATATTTTACACATCAGCCAATTTTTCATAATTTTAATTACGTTAATGTAACGTAAACTAATTGACTGCATACATATTTTCTTAATCAATAAATTTGGAGATTATTTATGCTCAAAGAAAGAGTATCAATAAATTATTGATGAAAATTATTTCAGTAAGTTCTTAAATTTATAAAATTACATTTTTCCAATATATAAGGTTGTCAAATATCTCCCTTCCGCTTTTTTGTCTTTTGAATTTCGCGGCTATGTACAAAGCGTTATAGAGCTCGTATCTGGCAATACTATACATAATTTGAAAGGTCTTGACATAACCTACAAAACGACGCTTTGCATGATTAGTTTGGATATTGCGTTCAACAGTTATAATTCAAAAGACAAAAAGGCGGAAGGGAGATATTTGACAACCTAATATGTAAAGCTATATAATATATCAACAAATAATATTTACAACAATATGTTAAATTCATTAATTTACAAACATAATTACAATATATACAAAAACAAACTGTTAAACGTTCAAATATATATTAAAAGTTATAAATGAAAATTTTATAGTTAGAATCTAACATTTATAAGCAAAAACTGCCCATTGAAAGCTCGTATAATTTAATCAGAATATAGTTTTAAAGGCATCTTTCTTAAATAAAATTTAGAAGATATATACAAATAGTATTTAAAAAATCTCTAACGCATTTTTGCTAAATTCAATTTTGCTTTCTAATTAAGTATGGAAAGTGCAATAAAAAATTTAAATTTAGTCATATCTCTGCTTATAATTATAGTCAGTTAAGTAGTCCAAAGTAGGCCTCGTCTAATTATGTCCAAATAAATCAAATTAACAATTTGAAATATAAGGTATTTAATTTAATATATTTGATGTACTTACATGTACATTAAAGTTATATATTTAATTTAATTAACACACTCATAGCATATGTTATAAACTAAAAGCGTTTAACAGTATTTGTTAATTTCAGAAATTTACTTGGTAAATAAAGATCTTGTAACAGATCTAACTTTATCGATAGAGTCTAACATGGGTTCAATTTCATACACACATTAATTTGTTGCACTCACGACATTATTTACAATATCATAAAACATCAAACTTGATTTAAGCACAAACATACCTAATTCTAACACTTTTTATACAGTCAATATATTGTAATAACTAGTTTGGCAGCATCTTAAAAATTAGCACAATTCTTAAATTTCCTTCGTATATAATCTCATACGTAGGCTTCTCTCCGTCCAGCAAGACCATCCAAAAATCTCCTCCACGTGACTACTGTTTTTCCACTCCAAAGCCAAACGCTGGATGTAACTCCAACCAGCATCGCCACCAGATACTTCAGCATAAAAATCTCAAACAACGGCCTGGACAAACCAGCCGCGTTTCTGTTCAAAGGACAAGGAATCGAAAAGCTCCTCGAGCACATATCATGATTCCATGTCACCATCCATTCGTCCAGATACGATTGTTCGTAGAAGTAACATCCGATTAAAGTCAACGCTGGTAAAATATAAAGGCCGCTGAACAGTCCAATTCGGATCATAAGTTTTTCTAATTTATCAGTCTTTGTTCCATCGTGTTTCATCACAGTTCGAATACGGAAGAGAGATACGAATCCGGCGAGTAAGAAAACTGTGCCCAAGGCGAGGTACACGCAAAGAGGCGCCAGAACGAAGCCCCGAAGAGCCGCAGCGTCCCAGAGGCCAATGAAACAGACACCGGATAAGACGTCACCTGATAGAAACAAACAGAGAGGAGTTAGAAAGATTTGAAACAAAAAATAGTTTACACTTATGACAAAAGAATTATAAAACACAACATAGACGTACAACATAGACGATTAGATTAACTTATAACATTGAAACAAGTGCATTATTACAATGATTTACACACTACACAAGTCAACATTATAATCCACTCAATACAATTGAACTTGATTATCTGCGTATAATTCTAAATAGTTTCATGAACAGTAAACTTCCCGTCTACTAAAATTTTGAAGAATTATAATTTTTCAAAAAAAAATTCAAGTCTATACAAGTGATGTGTTTTTCGAATCGTTCAAATCAGACGCTCCGTTCTCTCAAAAAGTGAATTACTATTTTTTGTACATTGCAAAACGCCTGAACCTGCATTTGCCAAGTATGTATCCTTATCAATAGGAATGGAATGTTTTTTGAATCATTCAAATCGGTTGATCCGTGCTCTAGAAATCGTCGACGAAAACTTCTATCCGCACATACAAACCCCGTCCCCCAAGCACACACATACATCAATTTTTCCTATGGTATGATAAAATGTTCAGATAACTTTGAAACGTGAATATATTCAATAATTTTCATATTCGATTTTTTGCTATTACTATAACTACCCTACGGGAAGTTTAGAATATTTCTATGTGTATCTTACTATAGTAAATTCCTTATCTATGGTAAATATAATATAATAACCAGGTTTATAGTAAAACTTTATAATTGGTAATAAACACCTAAAAAGGACAAATACCTACATATAGTTAAAGAAATGGACAAACAAATAGATAGAAGGACAGATTGATTCAAAGTTAGACAGACTGATAGACAACAGACGCAGAAACAAATAGTTAAGGGGGTATTCTAGTGTAGAACTTCAAAAAAATCGATTTTTTTTATTTCATATTTTCAAAGTTTAACTATCTAAGAATATGGGTACGAAAAGGTTTTTCAAAATTTGAATTATTTTCGGAGATACAGGCACTTTACTGACTTAATCTCCATACTGGTTTGGCTTCACGCAAAACTTTTAAATGCGTTTTTCTCAGAATAGACTTTTTCAGTACATTTGACACGATTTCTCGAGTTTTAATCGACCGATTCACTTGAAATGTTCAGAGAATCTTGTTTATAGACCTGTCTATAGCCCGAACTAGGATTAACCCCAAATTCCAATTTTTACTATTTTTAAAAAATTCGAGAAACTCAAAAAAAAAACAGTAAAAAAACACTTTTTTCAAACAGTCGCCAATTTGTAAAAAAGAAATCTTTTTACTCAATTTTAATTGTAGATTTAATTGCAGATTAATGATCTTTTTATTTTTTGCATTTCCGATGGCTAGGAGGGCTGAAATCATGTCAAGACTGAGATGCCAATTTTTGAGACCACCCACTTCATCAGCTGCCAGTTTTTAAAATTTTCAACTTTTTCATTTTTTAATTTTTGTTCTGTATTTTAATAACATTAATAAACAAGTGGTAAGAAAATGGATAGTAAAAACATTCATTGCTTTCTTTTACGACACTTTAAAAATGACCTAAAATTCATCGCTTTACACTAGAATACCCCCTTAAATAGAAATAGAATCTATTTTTCTTTAATAGCGTCCCACTGGCTTGGATTTCATAGATCCATTATTTTCCCTGTACTATTAATGTACTAAATTTTTCTTTCGCAAGTCACTAGATTGCACTTAAAATTTTTACCAGATATTGCTATCTTTCTGATCATGCAATTTATGAACCTTCACTTCAAACTATGCTCGAAAACTGCAATCCTAACATAATAGTCCACGGAATAAAATAGATCTTGTGGCTACATGGACAAAACAAGCAGTTATATAAATAGGATATATAAAGTAGAAAGTGCCTACGAACGAGATAAGAAAAGCTAATACAACTAAAATAATTCAACGAGACACTATGGGTCTATATAACAATGACTACACATCTAAAAGCCATCAGGCACGTTCAAACGACTAAGTACGTATGCATTAAGATCAAACGATTATTCAGTAACAGTCGTTATAGTGTCACAGGTTTTGTGTGGGTGTACTATTTCTGTGATACCAGTATTTTAACTCTTGGATTTACCAAGCCCCTTTCTCTTGAACGAGATAATAACCAGGAATTAAGCTAAGTTAATAGACAGCAGAGAATAGTAACGGAATAAGGGAAACAAAAACTTTAGCAGATGAATCTAAGCTTCTGTAACAGACCTTGAAGAATTTTAACAAACACACAAAATTTTATTTTAATAAAAATTTCATAGTATTGCAACTATCCTTTAACTTTATCCCATTTGTGCTATATTGTTTTTATATAAAATATCTCTCAAACGGTTTCTCAATAACTGCACTGGCGCCTTCTTAAAAACGAATCCACTCCAGTTCCAACACTTCAAAATATATTTGAATATTAAAGACTTATTTTTATCAAGTGTAAAACAAATCTGGGTCGAACAAAGTATACTTTTTATGCGACACAATAAATCCATTATCCCCGAGCAATTTAAGAGCTTTTCTTTCCCATATACTCAATTCACTTACATTATAAAAATTTTAATACAAAAGTAATAAATATCGAGGATAAAATATGGTAGTATTTTTCTTATATAGAAAATATTTTATAGAAACATCCTTAGAAGAAGTGTATAAATTTATGTACTATATAGCATAATTTGTTAAAATAAAAATAAATATTTTATGTAGTTCATTTATAAAATTTCTTCCTGATTCGGCAAATATAATATTCATCTGATCCATATAATAAAAATGTGTTCGAGATCAATTGTTGAGATGTGGTTGAGATAATGGTATTGAATTGCGTCATAATTTAAAATTACCAATGTGAATAATTCATAATATAAATAGTATCTCATCTTTCTAAAGAACATTTGTCGAGTGCCATCTAAAATAAATAACAATTCAAATGTGCAATTTAACAACCAGTCATAGACACGCTCGAAAGTAATGTTATAAATCTCAGTTCACTTAAACAGCTTTTAGTATTCGGAAGAGTGCATTCTAAATATTGCATATAAATTGTACGTCGCAGACTATATTAAAGTAACCTATATATCAGCATTAAGTCTTCTAGGTCTGATTTTGCTTCCAGCCGGTAATAAACACGAAGTATACGTATTATAAAACCAGAGAAAACGCATTCAATATAATTCTCACACCAGTTTTAACTGAAGAGCTGACAGATATTTTATGACAAGGAGAAAATAGACTAGCGGTTTATGAGTTTTTTTTTGTTATAAATCCTCTATCTAATTCTGCATTGATATCTACTATTCATGATGAGTTACCATAAAGTTGAAAACTCCCTTTTCCATTTTCCTATGACTCAAATAATCATGAGATATATGTGGTACCTATATTCGGATAGAAGTCCGGATATTTTCCATCACATAGTGAAGAAGAAGAGCGAATGGCAACAATTAAAAAAAGTATAATTTCAGAAAAAGAATTACAGCATTCTAGATCCTCCCCCCCATGAAGTAATGCCTAACGGCGGTTTCCGTGGAAACTAAAGGCAAGAGATAATCGGAGGTTTTAGTCGGTATTATACCCAGACAGTATCGAGTCCGACATACCCAGACAAAAAACTTAGTCTGGGATGCATAAACGCTTTCCCCCTTTATACAAAAAAACATGGTGCAGCACATTGACCTAAGTATAAACTATATAATTATGTATGATTTTTTTCGATCTTGTAACATATTACAATCACTATATACATTTTTACATATCCATATCTGAAGTAAGCTTGTCTTTAATTTTCTTAAACTTGTATAAATCCATTTTTCGTGGTTATTAGGACTAAATGATCGGGTATATCAAAAGTATCTCCAGTGTTTATATAGTCCAGGCAGTAATTTGAACATCAAGGATACAAATTACTATATAAACATATAGCCCTACATTTGTCCAATCGTTCATTAGAAATATGGTTAAGTATTTCTAGATCTATAAAAGTTTGTGCATTCTATGAAATTAATTTATAATTTCCTTTCACAAAAATATTACATCCTTTTCTAAAAATTTCCTAGGATTCTCTAAGTTAGAGATCGCATATTTTAAAGCCTGGGAAATTTCATCATTTGTACCATCGTCTTCTTTTCCTTCCTAAAACTACTGTTTAAAATATTCACCCACCCCACAATTATTCATTTGTTTGTGACTGAGTGTTCAGAAATCGTCATTTTATGATGCAAATATTTAAAAAACAACCTCCTCTTGATGAATGTGCATTATTATCTCGTAATTACAAATACATACATGGTAAAAGTTAAAGCAAAACCGCCTCTAGCCTTCATTATATAGCGGCCATCCCAGTAATTTATACAATTAATTAAAGTAAAACAATAAAATGTATGTGTTGAATTATAATTAATATACATCAAGCATATTAATTTATTATAATTATTGTACGCAAAACTGGTTGAGCTAATCTTGCCTACTAATTTACAAGGAGAGTAATTCAACTAAATGTTCGACAACACAATGCATTAGCTCAAAAGGTAAATAATTTTATTAATCGAATAAATTTATTATAGATTTTGAGTATGATTCTCCAAATAAAAAACCTTTTTTTTCACACCATAAAATCTACATTTCCAAATAAAATAAGTATATCAAACACCACTTTTAAATTGCAAAAACATAAATATGACTGACGAACTTTAAATAAAATTCATTTCATAAAAATACAGATAACTAATATAAAAAAATCATAGGATATGAAAATATAAATACAAAATTTCAGAAACTAATTATTCATTTACTATATATTATACTAATAATATTCTAATGATTATTTATTCTTGTATACGGGAAGAAGCCGGTATTGAAATAATCCGTTGTCCCATACATCAATGTCATGTAAAATAATCTTACACTCCAAGTGTGACATCTTTATTAATTTGAATAAAATATCCGGATTTTTTTATGGATACATCGTATATGAATGTCGGTG